CGACTCTACTTTAGGTCATTTTTTATTATTTTTCCAAGAAACGTTCCGAGCGCCTGTGGTATTATATCACGAGAAAATGTCGACATAGTAGACATCATTGATGCTACAGGTCGTCTGTGCCGAGACAGCGCTTCCTGTGACGACACAACTACACTTGCATACAGGGGCGGATACAGGATTTTTTTTATGGGCGGGGGTCCAAACAAAATCGCCAGACGAAGATTTTTTTTTATATTATACAAAAACAAATTGAATAAATATTTCAAGGGGAGGGGGTCCAGACCCCAAGAACTTAATCGACCTTTTCCCGTGATGCAATGCACGAAAACAGCGTATTGTTAATTTTTTTGAAAACAAATGCAACTCATTTAACAACTTTCTGTGGTAGAGGGCGCACTTTATTATGAAACGTTTTCCTACGACTGCTTCCCAAGCTATCAGCTAGCTATAACTTATTCAAATTTAAAATTTATTTACATGAAATTCAAACACGCGCTGCGCGACGACCACTGCGCTTTAATATTTTTCACATTATTTACCTAAGGTATTATTATGATATTTTGTTCACATACGTCACAAATTACTAGTAGATTCCTGGTGTTAAGTTACTCTCAAACTACATTGTATGGCTATGGAATAAATAATACTCAAAAAACGTGAATGAAAATCCCACAATGTCCAGTGTATGTACCAAATTTGAACGAAATATTTCCATACATGACTGCGATCTGGTTTCAGAATGACGGAAATACTTGATTTTGATGAAAACAAAAATGACCACCATTAGCCGCCATCTTGAATTGGATTGTGAAATGAATGAACGAGTACACATGTATCCCATGATGCATGTGTGAAGTTTGAATGTAATTAATACAAGCATGTAAAGAAATAAGGAGAACAATCCACAAGTCCCAATTTTAGAACCGTGACTGAACAGGAACTAAAAATGCATTCATTCTACAAATGAAAATCAGTTGTAATACTTTATTAGAACAACTTATTAAAACAATTAAAGTATTTAAAATCTATATTTATGCATACGTTCATAAATATCATCACTACACTTTGCTAATATCATTACTTGTCCCTTTGCTAATAATAATGTGTTACTGCTGCATCCAAAAGTAGTTTTTGACCAAATACGTCATTTTCTTCATACTTTCATTACAGAAAATGAAAAAATAGTGGTCAGCATACAATTTTTAAAAAATGACGCTGGAACTTTTCAGAAAATGGCAAAAATCCGTATTTTCTCTGGAATTTTCTCCCATGATGCACTGCACACAATATGCACAGTATTGCAAAATTTGAATAAGTTCAAACTCAACTCTTAAATGTACACTTTCAAAGGAAATTTGATATAGTGTAGTACGACGTCTCTTTACTTGAAATTCAAACACGCTTTGCATTACAACTGTGGTACTATTATTTAGCAGCAATTCATATTATTGTAGTGTTTTTGAAACTATAACTAATGCACCAAAATCAATCTAGTTCAAGTCTAGAGCAATACATACTATAAACTTTACAAAAGTACACAGATACATTTCATTATATAAACATTTCATAATACATAATCAAAAAAAAAATAATACTGGAAAAGAAAACATAAATTTCACATCAAATTGCAATAATTCAAACTCACAATAATGTTTATAATTAATACAACACATTAGTGTACCTGACAACTTTTTCACTCTTGTTTTTGTACATTTCAGAACAACAGCCAATCCAGATAAAACATAATGCAAACAAATCAATTATGCAAATTAGTTCATTCAACTATTTTAAAATGTGCACATTTTAAAATTTTAGATATTAGTAAATACTAAAATACAAACATAATTTTCAAGTGCATAGTGTACATGTCATTCATTTTTCAAATTTATTCCTAATAAAAACTACTGGTCATTACATTCGCATG